TGTATCTGTAATTGGACATAAATTACTCAATAAAATGCATATGCACAAAGCATCTTTCACCCGAAAAAAAAAAAAAACAAAAAATAAACTTAAGTTTAATAAAAATTACAAATTTAATGTTTATTTGTAAAAAAAAAAAAAATTTAATATATTAATATTTTTTTTGACTAATAAGACCTTGTCTAATATATTTTATTATAATTGTTATTTATATAAATTACATATGTTATAACTACAATTCTGTTTTATATATTAGACTATATTGAGATTTTAATTAAATATTAGCCTTGAGCTATCTGATTTATTTTCTAGCTTAAGTTATAAAAAAGAAATTAAAACTAATGTATTAAAACTTCACCAATATTAATAAATAGTATGTTTGTATAATTATTGTGTTTACTGTTTTATTTGTATTCTAAGAATCAAGTTGTCATCTTTTTTGTCTATTTTTATATTTTTTTCTTTTTCTTTTGCTTGTTCTATTTTTTCTTCTTCTGTATTTCTCTTGTTATTTCTTTTTACACTTTTCTTTTCTTTTTTATATAATTTCTTGGTTTTTTTTTTATATAATCACTTTTTTGTATTTTTTTGTTCACTATAGTCTCATTACTTTTTTTAAGTATTTTGCAATCACTTAACCCATTTTATTGGTCTGTATTCTAATTTGACTTTTAATATAGTTAGTGGTTTCTCTGAAAAAAATTGTTTAGATTATTAATATTTTTGTGTATTTTAATTATAACTTGATATTCTTTATATTATATATTGCCTTTTGCATATGCACTTGTTTTTTGTTTTTTTGTTTTATAATATTTCTTTATAATTCCCTTCTCCAGTATTTATGTATTATATGATTGAATATTTATTCTTCTTTTCCACATATTGAGCAGTTGGCTTGACTATAAAAGTTTTGATTTCTTGATTTCATCCTTTTGAATATTGCAAACTCTTTGTTAAGAAGCTTGTATCTGAGTTTCTACTTTTATAATCTTGTTTGTTAATCTTATTTATTGTTATTTTTCATGATTGTTGAGTTTTGTAAGATGTTTTTCAGATTATTTTTTTTTCATTTTATTGGCTATCTATGTCATATGTCTATTCTGCAATTTAATATATTAATTTATTAAAATACTTTTTATATAAAGTTTAAATAATATAAAAAATACAAGTTAATGAATAGTAGACTTCTATATCTAAAGTGAATATAACTTTTTCAAATTTATTATCAAATTAATATTTAATTGCTTCAATTTTTTTATTTAATATTAAATAGGTAATTATGGCTTTCAGAATCTTTAAACAAGATAAATTGTTTAAATTTTTTTTTAATATTAGTTGTATAGTAATTGTAAGCAAATTAATATTTAACTCATTATATTGTTACACGTGAGAGATATGCTTCTTTCATAATGTATACATAGAATTATACAAATTAAATAAAGAAATAATGTTTATTTACAAAAAAAAAAAACTAGTTAATAAATAGTAAAAGAATTTTATTTTATTTTTTTACAAGCTATATATATAGTTTAATTATATTTTTAAAGATTTGAAAGACTTGAAAGATTTAAAAAATTTTAAAAATTTAAAAGATACAAAATATGTATTGTACAATGATCATCATAAATAATGAGAATTTAATGACACGTAACTGTTATATATAAATTTTCTGATCATGTGCTCCTAACAAAATTAACTTTTAATGACAGGTTGTTTATATATGTAACTTAAAAACAAGCCATCAAAAAATCCATTCCTATTTAGTTTTTCCACTTTTTTTTTATCCTAAAATAGAAAAAATCATTCTTGCTAACTGACGAAAGACCGTAAGTGAGCTTTGGAACTGTGATATTCGCAATGCCCCAACTATGGCGAAATTAAGATATGTTCCGCTTTCTACAGTATACAAGTATATTACTCAACTAAAAAAAAAATTATGAACTTGGATCTATTTTGTGCCCTAAATGACCAACAATTTTAACTTCCCCAAATTGACGTGTGTTAGGAAGAATTATTCAAAATGATCAATACCTTACTTGCAAAGAAATCATCACTAAGCTTAGTAATAAGGTTAAAATATTAGCACGAATGGTAAATTGTAAGCTTAATAAGCTTGGTTAGTGCTCAAATCACCCCAAACAGTATCTTTACTTACTATGAAGCAATACGAATGACGTTTAGAATAGGTGACTGCTCATGCAAGGCAGAACTGGAAAAATGTCATATTTTCAGATGAAACTAGCTTCCAGATGTTTTGTAATACCATGATAGCATTTTACAAGACTGGAATGAATGTTCCACAAAAGAAGGTTCCAAAACACTCAGTGAAAGTTCATACATGGGGTGCTTTCTCAGCATGCAGAACGATCGGCTTCCACATTTTTACTCAAAACATAGATAGGTTACTCTATTGCGATATTTTAACTAATAATCTTTTTAAAAATACATCTAGGATTATGCTGTTGTGTTGGGTTTTCCAGCAGGATAATGACCCAAAACATATGACAAAAGACACGATCAAACTTCTTTGTTATCCAGTCCTGAAGATCCTTGATTGGCCCTACCATAGCCCTGATATAAACCCAATAGAGAATCTATGGACTATTATCAAAAAAAAAGATAGAGAAACAAGTAAATGTACATAGATTTTTTAATAGACATTACACGGACGTCACTGCAAAACTGCAACCTGAATAAATAAAACCCACAAAATTTATATAAAAAAAATGATTCTCGTTATTTATGACGAGTACTGTATAATTGGTTTTTATGTATTTTTAAGTTTTCCCTTAAGTCATATCAATTTTTTCTACAATATTATAATAAACATAACATAAAATAAATGAATGTTTATCTTTAAACTAATTTTGAAAAATTTGTTATTCTATTTGATTAAATAATAAAACACAATTTGAAAATTATAATTATTATTTTCCATCTTTTCCATTTTATTTTACATCATTATAAATTAAGTTTTTTTCAGACCAGTTAAAGAATTTACCAAAATATATCATAATTTAATTGATTTTTTTTTTGATACCAATATCAAGAAATTATATAATATCATTTGGCTGTTAATAATTCGAATCATTCTAAAAACTCTGTCGTTAACCAATTATACAGGGTAGAAAATAAGCAATTTCATTGTATAGCTATTTGATTATTAAACCATTTGCATTAGTTTTAATTTCTTTTGCTTCGAATATGTTAGATTTTTTTATATTCTTTATTTACATTACATACTGTATTGTGCATCTCTTTTGATTGTTTTGTAAATATTAGAATTCTTATTTAGAATATTCAACGTTCTTTAAAATTACTGTGTATGATGTTTTAATAAATTCACAGAGCAATAATTTTATTTATTTATTTTTACTGTTTTGGCATTATTTTTTACTAGACATACTTTGCAAAACTTTAATTGTACTCGCACATTATGTATTTTTAATTTAACATTAATTTCTAGTCCTGAATAATCCTCCAATCATTGAATCATATAAAAACTATTTAACATATTCCCCGTATTTTGTATTTGGTGAAATATACGAATTATTCGAATAGGCTTCTTATCCTGATTACAAAATGCGCAAAACAAGGGGAGGGGTTTATGTTTCAAAGAGGATACTGTATCTGGAAAATAAACAAAGCTTGCATTGATTGGTGTCACTTTTTTATTCTTACGTAATACTTTAATCTATTGCTATGTTTAAACGTTTATTTTTATCTTTTTAAGCTCTGTTTTTGTTATAACAATTGTGTAAACTGTTGTATAACCCAAATGTAAACTCGTTTCTACTCGCACTCATTATTACGGAGTTAAGATTCTTTGATATTTATAATAGCTATTTAGTTAAAAAATAATAATAGAAAAGAAATTTCTACATTTACAGTATCAGTATATACGATTCATTTAAAGACTTCTAGATGTGTTACCAAAATAAATTGTATTTAAACTTTTCTATATGCTAATGACCGGTAATGATGAAAGGATAAATATTATTTATGGAATGCATGTATAGACATGATTTTGATATCTGAGGTTTTGGACTTTAGTGTCGTTTCTAGTGACGGCAAAAAAGTTGGACTCGACGTCATTAATGGTGAGATAGTAGACTCCTTCAGGGATATTTACCGTCCACTTATAGAAAGTGCGTGTAAAGGTATTTATAAAAGCTAGATTTTCGTAAAAAACACGTTTCTGAGTAAAAATTCTAATATTTTGTAAACTATCTGAACCGGTCCACTTAATGGTTACAACCGAATTCTTGACAGCAATCTTTGGAATCACAATATCGTGAAGTGGATCGTTAGTTTCTGCAAGATAATAAAAAGTTAAGAATGTCGATAAGTAAATTTGACCATTCCTTCTTGAAAAAAGTACAAAGACGGAAAAGAGAAAATGAACTTACGGGCAGATACGAAGTAAGAAATAAAGATGACAAAGATTGTAACAAATGTTAAAAGGCGAACCATTTTTTAATGATTTGAATGTAATAAGTGAAGGTGAAATAAATAATTTACGGTGATAGGAATAATAATATCGACGAAAGAATGTGAAAAAGAGGAATTTAACGAAATCGAGAACGGAATGGAATGGCTGAGTAAAATCACCGAAAGGAAATGCCTTTTAAATAGCTTTATCGTTGCTATGTTATCAATCTTTTCTTATTATGCCGTTTTTGGTAATCAAGACAAAATGAAATCATTGGTGCAATAAATTTTAGGAAATAAAGAAAAACAATAAGTGCACTCCATATAAAGGCATTCAATTCTTGTCTCGCCTAACGAAATATTAACGGTTTCAAAATGCTTTCCAAAACCTTCATTGTTTTCACTTAACCAGACATCATGAAACTGTATATTATACACAAACAAACAGATAAGCACGTCACGTTTTTTATACGTTGTTGGTCATTTTATGATAACCATTACGCTCATCCCCGTTCGCCTACTATGTCAGAATTGACCTCATCAAAAACAATGTTAATTATAATACAATGGAAAATAAAATTAAAAATAATTAATTCAATTGCATTGCTTTTTAAAGAACTTTTTTTGACAGAAAAGAATATTGAGAAAATACAAGAAAAAGATTTTTTTAACCAAGAAAAAAGTATTCAGACACAAAATAGCATGCTACAATAAGATTTTTTGTACAGTAATACTTTAAATTGTTACTCAAGTCAATATATTTACTTTCCCTCTTTTTTCTTAGTTATCCTATTAATCTATTTCACTATTCATGAGAATATCAAAAGCACTATTCACATAACATCGAAATACATTGGATCAAAGTAAAATCATTAGTTATCATGCCATACGTATAGGAAATTGTTTTAAAGAACTTCTTTGTAACTCGAATATTTTTATGAGATTGATTATTTGATTATTTGATTATTTGAATTGAAAGCAATAATTCAGATAATATAGTTAAAAGGAAAGACGGATTACATCATAATATTTTAAATATTCGGCTAAATACTGTATATTACAAAACAGTATATTTATATACTGTATATATCAGTTATAGAGAAAGTAAATTTAATAAGTGAATTATAAATATACTCTATATTAATAATTCTAAACTATTGCCATAAGATCTTTTATATAATCAATACTGTTAACATATTATTGTAACTGCCTTGAAAAAATAAAATAAAAATTGTATCAATTTAAACTTGCAGGAAATAAAGTGTTCTTATAAAATAAAAAAGAAATAAAAATCGAAAAAAAATTCATAATATATTTAATCTTTTAATCTTTATTTAACAAACTTTAAAATAACTGGTAAAATTAATTTTTAACTTTTAATAATTTAATTTATTTAATATAAATTTTATTTTACCAATATTAAATAAATTAACATAAACAATGCAAACTGGGCTATGCATCATCCTAACCAATTCTAATTAACAACTTTCTCTTTCATAATTAATTTTAGTCTAATTAAATAAAGAAAACTCAAAGTATCTTGAATCAGTTCCATTAACACCCCCTATCCAAATGTTAATTGAACCAATAGTTTAAATAGTTTAAAACTAATAATAAAATTTTTATTTCCTAAATAAGTCCTCTCCAAAAAAATGTAGACTACTTTAAGAGTTATATTAGATTATCAAGTTTAATATAAATTCTTTTCCAAAAAATATAAGTTCCTTTAAGAATGCATACTAGATTACATGGTTTAATATAAATAAAGAAGCAAGTTAACTAAATAGATCTTATAGCCTTGTGATTAAATATAAATATCTTAATAAAAATCATATGCTACATATATCTTTTATTTTTAAAAAAAATAATAATAAATTAATTAAATACTGTATATTATTTTAAATAAATTTTATAATTCTGTTTTGATATTAAAATTAAAAGATAACAATATATAAAAATTAAATTTCAATATATATATATATATAAGATAATAATAATTTTATTAAAAAATTTAAAAAAAATTATCAAAATTTAATAGTCTATTATTACAATACTAGTTATTCTTTTTTTAGAATAAGAAAAAATACAATTTTTTATAATTTTTTAATCAATTGTAAATTATTTCAATTCTAATTTATTACATATTATTTATGTGTTTATTTATATAAAAAATTACTTAAAAATGTTTTATTATATTTAAATAATCATTGAAAAAAAATTTTATTTATAAAAAAAAATATAAAATTATTTTAAATATTCTTATATTAATAATAAAAATATTTTTTAAAGAAGTTTGCAACTTAAATTTTAAACTATAAATTTCAAAATAATTGTATTATTTGAAACTATATGGATATTTTAAAAATTAGGATTTAATTAAGGCCTGAGAGATTTTTAAAATTTTTAGAATTTTAGTGATTTTTAAAATTTTTGAAATTTTTCTGACATATATAAAAGAGAAAAAATATATTAAAACCAATAAATAATATAAAAACTGTATTTTTAAAATATAAATTCAGATTATTTAATATTATTACTTATATATTATATATATTTTCATACTTATATTTAATATTATATAATGAGCAATCATGATATAGCAACAGACTTGTAATTATAATTCCAATAATATAAAAATAACAAATTATAGCAAATTATAATTAATTATAATAATGTATATTTGAAATTAATAAAACTTTTTTAATATTTTAATAACAATATATTAAATTTCTAAGAATATACAAAATTAATATAGTTCTAAAATTAATAAAATCAAATAAAAAAATTAATAATAATATATTTTATAAAAGTTAAGATATTTATTAATAAAATAAAAATATCATTTTATAATTTTAAATAAAATTAAAGGTTTTTATATTGTTATAAACTATTTGATAAATTTATACTACTTGTTATCTTATTTAATTAACAATAAGTAGATTTTTTTTACTTTTAAAATATGTATTTAATTTGATTAATCTTATTCTAACCTCTTTATTGATTAATATACAGTAGAATCTTTTTTATATTAATTTTCTTAAACAAATTTGGATTTTTTTGCTTATTTGTATAGTATAAGTTACAAATATTTTAATATATAAAAAAATAAAATAAGAGTTTATTTGTAAATTTAACTTTATTGTCTAAATATCAATATATTCTTAACAAACTTTAATTCACAAAACCTGTCTATTTATTACTGAATTGTGCATATATTTATATATGTATCTATTATTAATATATTTATATCCAGTATATTATTCTAGAAATTCTTACTTTAAAATTTTATTATAATAATTTTTTACTGTTATTTTATTTTTTTAAATGCTAAGTGAGGTCTTTCTCAAGGCTTTATTAATTATACGTAGTAAATGAAATACATTATATACAAAATCAATAAAGTATGAAGTATATAATAATATATATTGACCTGCCACCATGAGCAGATATATCATTGGAAAAAACTTAGAAAGAAAAACCTGAGAAACTATCTGCTATGAAAAATAAAAAAATAAAAAAACATTTTGGGCAAGATCGCCAATTGTAAAAAAGAGTGATAGAAGTTTGATTTAGGAGAAGAATATTGGTAGCGTGGATGAACTATATGCTGCTTAGTTATAAATAAAAGATATAGTTAATAATTTATGGAGAATAGAAAGTTATAGTGATGATGTATTTAGGATTTAAGAGCGTATTATCTTTGAATCAACAATCCTTCCTGCAGGACACAAACCAAATATGTCTACCTAGGTTACCGCTTCCTTTTCGATAGCTGGGCACGACTCCAGCAACAATAGAGGAGCACTGGCTTAAGCTGCCAGATTACGGGATGCAACTCCCTGGTATCTCACTTCCACTCGCAATAAAAGTATTATACTTTTACTCACATTGGTTAGGCTTTGGCTGCCTTTTTCTTTAACAGTAGCATTGTTGCTCGTGGGTCGCAACTCCATTGTTGAGATAATAAAAAGTCATGTGGTTGGTAAAAGAGTATTGTAATAGAGATATAAGTGGATCGGGTAACTGGAGCCTGCTTCAATTGCTTGTTTTGTTGTTTGGATGCATGTAAAGTAAAGATTACCGGAACCTGCACAGGGCACAGGTCATGTGCTCTTCCAATCCGGTAAGTTATCAGATCATTTTTATTGTCAATATTATTGTATTGTTGTTGGGTGTGAGAATTTTTATTAGAGGAAAACTAGTTGTAAACGAGTTTGAACAGGTTTAGTGTTGTTGTTAAGAATAGAGAAATTTTATTGGTCGTTTGTAGTGTAGATCTTTGGATAGGGTGAAACTGATTTTGGTTTTTGAGTAGATTTGAAAAAAGTGTAGAAAAGTGTAGGAATATGACATAGTATTGATGTTTAGATAGAGAGAAGAAAATAAAAAATTTTGCAAAGGTTATATTAAGATAAACATTAGATTCAATAACTATGTTTGAATGTGTTATTAAGATTGAAATTGTGTTGTAGAGAGAGAAAAGTGAGGGAAAAAGCAATTATCATGATTATAGAGGGGAAGGTACCTAAAGACAAAAAATTATGAAGAAAGGCTGCCACGAGCCTTTCCCCATGCAACCAAGAGCTAAGAAAGACTCCCAACTTGCTTAGGTCTTGACCAGAGGTCCTATCCCAATGCAACAGTGTTCCTTAAAGTCTTTATGTCCTTTGGATTTAAAGCTTATTGCCTTAGGGAATAAAGAAAGTGAGACACTTCTTGGAAGAAGATTTCCTAAAAAGGAAATTTTCCAAAAATCAGCGGTGAACAGGTGAGAGTTTGTTTTTACTGTTATTTTATAATATCACTAATTATATAATATAATATATATTATATTACTATAATTTTAGTTTTGCTTAATGCATTAAATATCAAATTTACAACCAACTTCTCAAATTTAACAGTTTTATCAAACTCACTTGGTATCAACTCATGTCTCCACACAGAAATTGCAAGATGTAGACCAGAACCTAATTGGTTTAAAAATTTTGGCAATTCTTCAAATCTCAAAAGATCTTATGGTCCAATTTCTAATTCAAGGCCTCTTTTCTAAATTGTCTATCCAAACTGAGTTATAGTCAAAACTCATAAAAGAACATTTGAAATTAGGGAAAATACATTACTTAAAGGAAAACACCACTTTCTAGACCAATATAACAATTTAATTAAGTGCTTAGACTATCTATTAGATATTTCTCACAACAACTCTTGCCTTATTTCCTTTACTAATTCATTCGTATCCTCTCTTTAAGTATCTACACAAAGTTTTTCCACACCAAAATTTTATTTTAATAATGTACTAGAAGAAGTTCTAAACACTTTTCAAGCTTAAGAAAAACCACTTCAATATATATATCTTCAACTCAACTTATCAACATCATCTCAACTAATAGAACTGGGCTAATTACACCTTTACACAATTCAAGCTCACAAAAATGATATTGTAGTTAACAACTACCTTATTATAGCACTTCAATCTTCAATATCCTCTTAACTATCTATGACATTATTTAATAGTATTAAAACTTAACAACTAATGAAATTAGAGACAATAAAAAAATTATCCAAGAAATTCCAAGCAACTCAAGAATAATAGTCAAACATAACTACTCTTCTATTACTTTAAGAATTAACAACTTAAGCTCTTAAAAATCAATTTTTTTCTTATCTACTAAACCTAAATCCAAAACTGACAACACTATATACTGAAACATTTCACTATCTCACTTTCTCAAAAATCCAAAAATAAATAACAGCAATCTGGGCAAAAGCATTATATGATCAATGAAAATCTTAAGGTTAACCAAAATTTATATAATATGTGAAAGTACATCAGTAGTGGGAACCTTCAGAGAAA